CGATTCTATAATTATTTTCAAATAAAGTAGGTCTACCTAATCGATAATCGCACAACATTTAAACATAGGGAGGTCCTGTACTTAATAGCAGGCCTACGTATTGAAAAGTAATTTTCTAATTTGAAAGACAGAGAAATATTACTTTATTCATATTTTTTCCAGAATTCCAATTTCCTCTTGAAATGTTAACGATTGTATTTTTTTAAACGGGACCGACAGAGCAAGGTAGAACATTACCCGCCCGCCTTTTTCAAGGTTACGTGAGGTTGAATGAGAATCAGCTATTTATCTCTTTTTGTCTTGTCAAAGACGCATAGGACTATTTCATTCATGTGACGTTGGCGCGCGAACTTCGGAGCAAATGCGCGACCCGCGCGAGGCGTCGCGCACGATATTTTTCCCTCCCCCTTCCTCCTTCATTTGGTCGTCGGTGTTTGTGCGGTGAACATTGCTGTGCGGTGTACGTAGCACGTGTTAATAAATTGATTACAAGTTTCTCCAATAAACACAAAAAAGTAATAATGGCAGACGCAGCCGTCGAAAAGAAGTAAGTCTTTTACTAAGTTGTGTTAGAAATTAATAGTTTTGCATTTATTATTTTTTGGCGGCTCGGAAACGTGATCAAAATGGCTTCCTATTTTATGCGAATTAACTTGTTTTACGTTCGTTTTTGAATTAAATTAGTGTTTAGTGTAACAGTGGTAATTCATTAAGGCAATTTAAGTTGTAGTATGACAGTGTTTTCAATAATATTGATAGTTTGATGACGCCTGATAATAGTTCCGACGCCGACAAAAAGTACACGCGGGAAAAAGTTCTGAAACTGATAAGTGTTATGTTATTGTTCTTTTATGTGCTAGTATGTGATGTTTGTGTTATTTTAATCATGGGAAATGGCGGTATCGATCGCGTGTAGTCAATTTCCATGGAACGGCGTACCTACTTTATTAAAGGAAGGCCAAAGTTGTGAGCACGCCGGCAACGCTTGGTTCAAGATGGCGCTGCATGCGCGGCGTGCCGGCGCGAAGCGTCATCGGCGCGCGCTCGTTTCAAATCGCCAAGAACCGAGTTTTGCAACTCGTGGCGGCAAAGTCGGTTACATTATCGCGAGGGCCGCGTGTTGTCATTACTTTATTTTTAACGCTTATGCGTCGACTGCGAGTAAAGGTAAAGTCCGCTGGAGCGAGTAACATATTCGTTGGGTATATCGATGCTTACGTTCGGTTTCCTATATTGCAACTTTCCCACATGCAGCCTTGCGCAACAGCCACTTGTTTTTGTTCCGGCAGACTTTTCCTTTTATATCGCCCCACTTAGCCGGCGAGCATTCACGATATGAAGTCGTAATGTATTGTTATGGGCCGTTACTAACCGGCTACGGTGAGCATTACGCTAATGCCTCGAGTTTTAAAACTTATTACCTACTAGCGGCCGCCCGCGACTTCGTACGCGTGAATCCCGTTTTTCCCGCTAATTCCCGTTCCCGTGGGAATTTCGGAAATTCCTTTCTTAGTGCACCTCTACGGTACCTAAGCTACGTCCCTTCCAAATTTCAAGTGCCTACGTTTAGCCGTTTAGGCTGTGCGTTGATCTGTCAGTCAGTCAGTCAGTTTCTCCTTTTATATATTTAGATTCCCGCGCGTAAGTTCTGAACTTCTGACTAAAGTTTGTGATGATTATTTACAGTGATGTCGCCCCCGAGGAAGTGACCTCGACTGAGGCAGCGAAGGAGTCTCCAGTCAAGAAGTCTCCGGCCAAGAAGGTGGCGGAGCCCGAGAGCAACGGCAAGGAGAAGAACGGCGACGACGCTCCCGAAGACACCCCGGCCGAGAACGGAGATGCCGAGGAGAGCAACGATGCCACCGAAAATGGAGACGCCACAAATGGTAAGTTTTCGCACATAAACTCTTGATATTTTGACATGAAGTTTCAGGAAAAAAAGTTTTTATAACATTACATTTCTAGCTTTTAATTGCTAGGTCCTACTGGAATTATAAAACTGTGTGTAACTGTTATTACGATTGTACTGTTACATGAATTCGTTCATATTCATTGAGAATTCATTCTTGTTATGCGTTCAATTTTATAAAACAAGTTCCAACTTTTACAAGTCTAATTTATATCTTTTTTACTATCTACCTATATTATCATCAATTATCTAGCGAACATTAACAATTAATTTGTGTTGTTATTAACTTAAAATTGCATTAATTTATGAAGTGAAGAAAATGTTATTTCATACTAATTAGCATCATTTATTATCAAGGCAATTAAGACTTCTTCATTCATAAAGAAGTAGGAAGATGCTTATTAGAAAAGTTCTTACTTAAAAATAACTTTAAATTAATTTTACAAAACTTGATGTCATGAATCTCCTATTGGAAACACTTGTAGCAGTCTCTTTAAAACATCTGTTCAATTCCAGAAAAGAAAGATACCGGCGTGAAGAGGAAATCCGTGGCAGCCGACAACGGAGAAGAGAAAAGCACGCCTGAGAAGAAAGCAAAAGTGTCCGAAGACGCCGCCCCCGCGGAGGAGGAGGCGGCGGCCTAGGCCCCCGGCCGGTTTACTGCATGCATCGACCATTAGGGCTCAACTCTACCTGCCCGACATATCCAATACCACACACAAAGCCAAACCATAGTTTTATACAAGTATGTATATTGATCTGAATAAACAAAAGAGTTGAGCTCTTTTGCGACCACACCTAAGTTTAGGTTTATAATACTATGTGTATTACTTACCTGTGAAGTACCTGTAAATTGTAAATTTAATGTTACTGTCAGTGTTGTGACTGTGCATCGCAGTGGACCGATCACTCGCGAGTCGGTTTAGGTATACGCTGTTCGAGTATCGGTGTCTATTACGATAGATTGTAGATGGTTACTGAATTGATGGTTTACACGCATCGGTATTGGATAAAACACAATTTCGCCAGTAATATACTGCCAAAGTATTCACTCCGAGTGAAATCAATTCACCATCCGTTCTGTGAACGACGCGGTTTAATAGACAGCTTCCGAAAAACAAGGATTTTAGATAAACTAAGATTAATTAAAAAGTTTAGATAATTAATTCAGTTGTAAATTTAAGTTAGCAGTTAAATGTCGCACATTGATATATTTCATAGGCATATTTACTTAACCATTTAAACATTCCTTTGACATTTGGTTACGGATTGCACTGTGAGCCTGTAAGGTATCCTTTGTGAATCGATCGAAGTTTAGGAAGGCCTGGTGCATGCTAAAACAGCATTTTCTAAAAGCAAAATGTAACTCCTAAACGCCTTTCTATTCCCAAAGAGGTAGGAAGTGGTTCACATTGTGACACTAATTTTAAGATTTTCAAAATAAAAGTTCAAAGTTGACAAGGTGATAGTTCATATTGACATATTAATTCTGTGTGCTATTTTGTATTTCTATGGACAACTTTATTTTTCATATATCCTGTTTTTCTAATTTATTTTCTTGTTTATATGTGATAGATAACAAACCTCGAATGTAAGATAACACGTCATGTGGAAATGAATCTTAACGTTTATTTCAAAAACAAACTCGTAACACATTGTGTTCTTTATAAGGGATAATAATTAAGATTTTTGACTAACTTTTCTCTGGATCGTAACTACTTAACAGTTGAATTTTTGATTCGAAAGTACATTTTAGTATAGATATAGTAGTGTGTACAGTTTTAACACTCTACTTCTTCTCACTTGTGGAGTTAGTGTTTATAAAACATTTCTGGCAATAAAATAGTCCAATCGAAAACTTCTTTTGTTTACAAACTACTACCCTAATCCTTTCTATCCAGTTAATCATACACACACACATTCAATTCAAATTCTTCATCATTTTTATAAGACAACGCAAACATTTCAAAATCCATTTCGTTTTTAGAAGTGTTTGCTTTATCTTCTTTTTTGTAATAAAACATGAAACTAGGTAGGTAAGTATTAGAATACAATACATCATGATCGCTTCGGTTTTATTTCAATTTATGCAAAACAGTACACTTAAATAGATCACACTATTGATGTACACCACACAAGACAAGAAAAACGGTCTTATCGCTACAAAGCGATCTCTTCCAGACTCCTAGAGTGATATTAAGCGAATATAGATAAAAGTCAGTACATTGTCACTGTTCTTTAGAAACAATGTAAGATTCTTTGCTAATGTGATGAATTTAAATGCGAAGTTTCTACCAGCAGTCGTTCGCTTCTCGGCCTACGGTTAGCTTGCAAATTGATTATGTACTGTTGCCTTGCGTAGTTTGCATTAGTAAGTTACTACTCGCGAGTAAGATGACATCACTGTCGCTTGGAAATCACTTCATTCGATTGGAGTGTGTTTACAAACAAGTTAATAGCTCAGCCACCGGAGTTTGGTCCCTTTTGCTCAACTGGCATCCGCAGAATACCAGTGGTCGTGACGTTCTCTCTGCCGTCACGGCTTATACTGAGCAGATGTCATTTTGGTGCATGTACTTTACTGTTTGGTTTTGTTATATCTATTTGTTATTTTATTTTGTACTAGCATCGAATAAATACTTTTCTTTCTTTCTTTCTTTCTTTCTTTCTTTCTTTCTTTCTTTCAATGAAGTGATAACCTTGACTCGTGTAGTGAATTTTGACTGCCATTTCACTGAACAGCGTGACTGAGGTATACTTTTTTTCTTTATTAGGAAAACATACAGCTTATAGTACAAATAATGCAGGGTCATCAATACCTACCGCTTAATATTTTATGTTGATTAACGATTCCATTGATGTCTGCTGAACAGAAAGACAGCCATTAACTTCAATTTTGATAAAAGTGTGTCGCACATTATAATTTAACTTCTACAGTGTGCCTAGAACCTCTTTATGTGAGTAATGGTTATAGGCGCCCGTACAAACATTATTAGTGATGAGCACTGAACATCAATAACCCAGTGGCAAGGTCGGGCATCGCCGTGGTAACAAGACAGCACACAATGACACACGTGGCCGGCTGGCTGACCGCCGGGCAGTAAGCCATCAGACCACTCCAACGACGGACCATGCCCTAACATCCATCCTCTCCGCCATGAAACCAAAAGAGAGTCGATTCTCGCTCAAATTGCTGCTGCTATTTTCGTTCGTTCGCGTAGCAATTTTTCAGACGACTCAGAATATAAACGTCTGTAGGTATTCAAGCTTTAGCGTAAACAAATTCGTATCATGCATAAACATCGGATATAAATAAGTGGTGTTGCAGTGTTGATCAACGAGGAGAACAATGCGCTCGCGGAGAAAGCGTTCGAAGTAGCGAAGGAGTATGTCAGGCGGAACCCGAGCTTGGGGTTGGCTGTGGACCCGGTCATCGTGGTCGGCAACCGATCGGATGCTAAAGTTTTTCTTGAAAATGGTTAGTATAAGACGTGAACAGCTATCGTCTTTTAATAACGTGTCGATAGATTTAGATGCACCAATAAATCTATTTCTGTTGCGTGCCAATTCCGTTAACGACCGTGTCGACAGTTTGCAGAAAGTACAACGACATGTTATCAGCCAAGAAAACTCCGCACGTCGTCCTAGATTTCACCATGACCGGCGTGGGTTCTGAAACGATAAAGTCGTTTACGGCCGCGCTGGCACTGCCGACTATGTCGAGCTCGTTCGGCCAAGCCGGTGATCTGAGGCAATGGCGCTCCTTAGACGCCAACCAGACCAGGTTCTTGCTGCAAGTGATGCCGCCCGCAGATATACTGCCGGAATCTATACGAGCCATCGTCACGAAACAAGACATCACTAACGCTGCCATTATTTTCGACGAACTTTTTGGTTTGTATTGTTGCTACTGTATCTTTTGTTTTGTGATGGTTGCCACATTTATTACAAAAACGCTTCCAAGGAGAAACATCCTTGGATTTATTATTCGGGACTGCAAACAACCATTACTTACTTACTTTACTACGTTTGCAAGTTTGCTTTCAGAAGAAACACGAAAAACTATTGCTGTTCTGTCAGCCAGTACGATAATATAAATTAATCTTACGTATTATTATTTAGTATGATAAATTACTATTTCATTTCTCAACAGTTATGGACCATAAATATAAATCTCTCCTGCAAAACATTCCGACACGCCATGTTATAACTCCTGTGAAGAGTTTCAATAAAGACGAGATAAAAACTCAATTGCGAAGCTTGCGAGAGTTGGACATTGTGAACTTTTTCGTGGTCGGTAGCCTCAGGACCATAAAGAATGTTCTGGATGCGGCAGATGAGAATCAGTATTTTGGTAGAAAAACTGCTTGGTTCGCCTTGTCGTTGGACAAAGGAGACATTACGTGTGGATGCAAGGACGCCACCATCGTTTACATGAGGCCGACGCCGGACGCCAAGAGCAGAGATCGTCTGGGAAAGATAAAGACCACCTACAGCATGAACGGCGAACCAGAAATCACGTCGGCATTCTACTTCGACCTGTCTCTAAGAACGTTTTTAGCCGTAAAGTAATTGACCTTTACAATCCTAGTGCTTGCGTACCAATGTTAGCAAACCACGTGCTAGTACATCTAATTATAACCTGGCATATTCCATGACTTCACACGTTTATGATTTTCCAGATCACTACTGGACTCTGGCAAGTGGCCAAATGACATGAAATATATTACTTGCGACGATTACGACGGTAAGAATACCCCTAACAGGACCTTGGACCTGAAGGCGGCTTTTCAAGAGGTGCGTTGACACGTTTATTCGTGGAAAACAATTGCTGTGATAATTTATTCACGAGACGCGACGTTCAATGTTTTTTCAGATAAAAGAAACTCCGACTTATGCGCCTTTTTATATACCGGAGGACGATCCCATGAATGGCAGGAGCTATATGGAGTTTAATACGGATATAACAGCGGTTACGGTGAAGGATGGGGCTTCTATCGGGAGTCGAGTGTTGGGGTCCTGGAAGGCTGGTCTCTCCAATCCTTTGTCCCTGACAGACCCCGACAACATGAGCGATTACTCCGCGCAATTAGTGTACAGAGTTGTGACAGTGGAGGTAGGTAAATGAACTCCGCCATTGTTTAAACTACTGTTGGCAAGTTGATAAAAATTTGTCAGTTAACATAATTACAACTGTACAAACAACTGAGCTATTGTGCGAATTAAGGAATGGTGATGTTTCTACGATGTTGAAATATCGATCTAAATTCTTATAACAGGATAGGTAATTCGTAAGTCTATTGAACTTTCCTAGGATAGGTATCCAAAGCAATAACAATACATAATTTGATAAAAATTTGTTGAATATAAGCTAATTTAATGCTCATGTTTTTAGCAAGAACCGTTTATAATAAGAGATGACGAAGCACCGAAAGGGTTCAAAGGATACTGTATTGACCTCATCGAGGAAATCCGACAAATCGTCAAATTCGATTACGAGATTGTGCTATCACCTGACGGGAACTTCGGCACAATGGATGAGAATGGAAATTGGAACGGGATTATAAAGGAATTGATAGAGAAAAGGGCGGATATAGGTCTGACCTCTTTATCGGTAATGGCGGAGAGGGAGAACGTCGTGGATTTCACGGTTCCGTACTATGACCTGGTTGGAATAACAATTATGATGAAACTGCCGCGGACGGCCACATCTCTTTTCAAGTTTCTCACCGTTTTGGAAAACGACGTATGGCTGTCGATACTGGCCGCATATTTCTTTACAAGGTTAGTGAACTATTAAGAATACATTGTCGCTGCCTGAACATTCACGTACTTAAACACGTACAATGCCGTATTTGTTGCACAACCGTGCTTAGAACAGGGAAGTGGATACCTTCATAAGAGCGTTTCTTTTACTGTTACGAACGAAACGCCGTTTGAGCATCCGCGTTTTTATTGTTAAAATCGTTGGAAGTTGAGAAAAAAAATTGCCTACCTAGGCTATTATATTATATTATAGGCTAACTAAGTCTTAGTTAGCCTATAATATTATGGGGCAAGAGTATCTTGAATTTCACTTCTAGAAACAACTTGGTATCTTTTTTCCTACCCAAAATTTCTATCAGATCTGTCCAATTTATGAAAATGCCTCGTGCCAAAACCTGAAACATTATTTTATAAATTGTACGTACTATTAAAACATAATTTACATACATACTCGTGCCTCACAATTTTGATTTATTAGTGTGTTCATACGAGCCCGTCACTCGAGTCGTTTGACATCGCATTTCCCTGAGCAATTCATCATAGTGACTCGCACTTTCTAATTTCATTTGTGTAGGTACGGTTTATGGGTAAGTTAGTCGCGAACCGTAACTAACTCAAGTTATAAATAAACCAAAGTTAACTTTGATGTTAATGGACGAAAAAATAACACTTCTAGGTAACGAATTAAAAAACTTTCACGTTCAGTTACCATCATAACTATACTTAGTGTATAATCGATGATGGAATAATGCTTATGCTTTTATAAATTCAGAACTAGTAAGTAGAAGATATAAAGTTAAAAAAGGTCACGAGACTGAAAAATTAAAGTCTTCGAAACTCATTCATGATCATACTGGTGACATTTTATTAAAAATTTTGTTGCCAATTTTCCATACGAGACTAATAAGGCATATGGATTGGGTCTCCATCCTCAATTTTTCTACCCCTACTTAATATTGATAGATACTTCCATACGTTAATCGAGCGAATATCAAAGTAGAAAAATTGAATTATTTTTACGCCATTTCGATGTCATTTCCGTAGTAAATGTTACATTTTTCCACCTGATAATATTGTTTTAAAGACTGACCCGTTTCCTTATANCATTTGTGTACGGTTTATGGGTAAGTTAGTCGTGAACCGCTCGAGTTATAAATAAACTAATAAACATAACTTTGATGGTAATGGACGACAAAATAACACTTCTAGGTAACGAATTAAAAAACTTTCACGCTCAGTTACCATCATGACCATAATCGATGATGGAATATGCTTATGCTATTATGAATTATCAGTAAGAAGATAAAAAGTTAAAAGGTTCCGAGACTGAAAAATTAAAGTCTTCGAAACTCATTCATGATCATGCTGTGACATTTCATTGAAAATTTTGTTGCCAATTTTCCATACGAGACTAATAAGGCATATGGATTGGCTCCATCCTCAATTTTTCTACCCCTACTTAATATTTGATACTTCCATACGTTAATCGAGCGAATATCAAAGTAGAAAAATTGAATTATTTTTACGCCATTTCGATGTCATTTCCGTAGTAAATGTTACATTTTTCCACCTGATAATATTGTTTCAAAGACTGACTCGTTTCCTTATAGATATTACCTTTGTTTCGTTCGTTCGTTCGTTTCAGCCAAATGACGTCCACTGCTGGACAATATGCTGGATATTACTTTGTTTAGCAACATAAAATAAGGAAATGTCGTCATTCACTTCGTCTGAATCATCATGTTACTTATCTTATGGAGCATTATCTTATGTGGGTCAATTCCCAAATTCGCCTGCAAACATTCATATTGAATGGCTCATTCACGGGAAACCTGTTTCAAAGACGAAAAAGAGGTCAAAACTCCATGGCGTCATGTTTCCGAATACTTTACGCCGAAGTAGGTACTAAAAGTAATTTCAGGTGAAGCTACATTGGGGATTTAAAAGAGCTTTTTACAAGAATTGATGAAACTATTGATTTGAAACACAACCTTGTGGCAGTCAACTCCCTAACCAGTTTCTTCACTATATGTCTCAAAATATAATTTGTGACTAGCTATGTTTTGATGTAGGTAGAGCATGGTTTAAGCATTATCATAACATCCTTCAATTCTTCTATCATAATAATCACACTTCTAATAATTATACCATTGCTTATTTTCCAAACAGTTATTTGCACAAATTACACAATATTTTGAAATCTGCGATGATTGCTTCATTATCATATAATTTATCATCATTCATACTTTTATTATTGATCAATATTTTTTTATTATCAATCGATTTCTTTTTATCTTTGCGATTTGCAGTAGGTAAACGTAAGCGCAAGTAGCAAGCATCTACTATATCTACTTCTAATGAAGAACCATGCAGTTTAGGCCAAAATTGAACCCGGGACCCTCTTTCGACGAAGTTCCCCGTATCGCTGCGTTACTCCTATTTCGTTTGTTCGTTCGTTTCAGCCAAATGATGTCCACTGCTGGACAAAGGCCTCCCCCAAGGCACTCCTATTTCAGCACTACTCTTTATACACATTTATTTAGACATACCCGGACGAACCCACGTTAGACAAATCGATAGTTCCATACCTCCATTATTTCTTATCAGATTTGTGGAACGAGGTCGGACGCGATGTCCGACTGTAACTCACACAGCGAGAATTACCTGTTTACGATACTATGCTAGTGTATATGTCAAGGGGAGTACACTAAGTTGCAACTTGTGGCGAATATAAACGGAATTCTGTTTTGTGGAAAAAGTTTTGAACAAATCTAAACGGAAAACTAGCGTATGAGTTGTGGTATGAGTTTAAAGAACATGGTACAAGTACTCCGGTACAAGCAGGGAGTTCAGATGCAATAACCATAATATCTGAATATTAAAGGTTACTTATTTGAAGAGAATAAAAAACCTTAAAGCAACATCATTGAGTTTATACAATAATGTATTTTAGTGACCAGCTAAGGCAACTAGTGAAACTATCATTCTTTAGAAATATAGGGTGGGGAAAACTATCTATAAGCTTTCTATAATATATATACCTACCTACTTTTTTATAACCATCCGATCTTCATGCTAATTTGAGTGATCTAAATTCCAACAAAATTATGCTACTTTTATAATAAAATTTAGATTTGTAATTTGGAAATATTTATAGCAGTAGCCAGTAGGTAAGGAATGCCATTTGACCTTTCTGCCAATAAAGGCTAAAATAAGTATGACTAAATAAACAAAAATAGCTATAATTATGTAACACAGAGGAAGTTTATTATCTTCTCTTCCTTAGAGCTTTGCCGGGAAAAGAAAAAAAAGAGTGACGTGGAATGGGAAGCAAGAAGAACGTTCATCATCTGAACGAGTTATTTGATGTGCAGAATCTTCGCGAAACTTAATTTATACGTCTGCGGCTATTAAGAAAAAAAAAATGCTATAAACAAACGAAGATCAAAAATGGCCGTTTGATTTAAAACCGCGCGTAAATATTAAACGTAAAGTCATGTGAATGATTCGGGTTATCTAAACTTAGATCGGTTTAGCAATGGCCGAACTTTCTAGAGCGTGGGGCGTTAGTCCTAATAAATTAGGGGTTAGCCGGACTAATGTTTATTTTATTACGTGCATTCGTTCGCGCTACATATCCATAGACCACATCATTTTAACCGATGACGCACAGCACAACAGAAGTGAGTAGGTGCGGTATATCACGTTGTATTTATTTATTTAGAAGTTAAAATAGCTTATCAGTCACTGTAAGTTCGTTTGCCAAACGGCTGCTCTGAGGGAATGTTTGCTTCGTGACCTAAGGCGCCATCTATTGTAGCAGATGTGGAAACCACCAATTTACCATCTATTAAAAATCACGAGGCAATGACCGAAGTCTTCATTCCAATTCCGCACAAGTTGTGGCACAAGTTTGTAATTCAACATAATAATATTTTTGAACACAAATAAGGATTTTACTTCTGGGAATTCCCATTGTTGTGAAACCTTTCAATGTCAAATCTAATCGGGCACAAGATGATTTCCTTAATTATTAGGGATTCTTGAGTTATTCTTAGGTGCCTCATGTTTATTTATAGTCCAATTCATTACATATTTTGTCCACTCTTATGATGATCCACTTATGGGACGTCCACCCACAAGGTGGACCAACGACATCGTAAAGGTAGCACTGCAGGAAGGCGCTGAGCGCTGGCCGCTATCAACAGGGCAACATGTAAAAGCATTGGGGGAGGCATATGTTCAACAGTGGACCTCCTATGGCTGAGATGATGATGATGATGATTATGATGATAAAGATGAATTACAAATAAATCCTCTGAGAGTACCTACTACTACCACTGAACAAATCTGACTGATCTACCTACAATTAGTGAAATACCTAGGTACCTACTACGTGATGCGCCATGGCAGAAATTGAGGGTATTGTAAGTAACATTGTAAGATTTAATGGTTCTTTATGTCCCCGAAGTTATCACTGTTTTACAACCAGCCTCTGTAAATAATTAAATCCGAAATTACCAGAATAGGTTGATCCACAGATGAATCCATTTCACAAAAACTGACTCAGGTTTGCCAATGCCAGCCAATGTTTGGGAATACTTTGGAGGGAAATGGCGATACTGTACTTAACTCAAATGTGCCAATAGTTATGTAACCGCGCGGCCCAACGGTAACCTAATTTGAAAATAGTGCAACCGACCCGGTTACCTACATCCGTATCGTATCTATCATTCCACCTATCGTTGTTTTTAGAATCAAGTTTTTTATAAGCAGGTATAAACGCGATCTCAACTGAATTTCAGCCTAGGTAACCTGCCTTAGACGTGCCTAACCATTTTAGTCTTGATTCTTTAAAGCAGTTAACTGCTTCTAGACAATGTAACATTCGCTAGTAGTTTCGTTTCGATAAAACCTCTCGCTCGATTCCTAAAGCTTGGCAACATAGGGAAGAACATCAGAATAAAATTGACAAAATTTTACCTACCTACCTACATTAATCGCCAAAGCTACAAGAATCTGAAAAAACTAGATTGTAGATAAGACGAATAAATGGGGTAGCTGACTTACCTTAAAAATATCTTGAACTCGTGTACTTATTCTCGGGAATCCTTTGGAATTTTTATTGGATCACTCTTGTTTACGAACACAATACCACAACACATTAACAAAACACTCAATGTGCCCATATTTATCACACAATATTTATCCCTAAATTCATTAAAGACCTTCAGGCAGGATATCTGTAACCACCCACAGCACTGACTGACAATAGAGAATGACAGAGTGAAAAGATTGAATGACAGAGTCAATTTGAAAACTTAATAAAACCTATAAACGATGAAGTTTTATTAAATAAGGCTAAAACCCCACCGGAAAATAGTTTTATTAATTTTTATGCAGAATATTTATAACAAAGTTGAATAAAATAAACATTTTGAGTTTATTGATACTTACTTAGACTTTCAAACTTCTTTCAGTCTCTATTTCTATGATACACTATGGGTTTTTCAGCTTTTTGATGTGGGTATTCGACAAATGGAGTCCCTACAGCTACCAGAACAACCGTGAAAAATACAAAGACGATGAGGAAAAACGAGAATTCACGCTCAAGGAGTGTCTATGGTTTTGCATGACGTCACTCACGCCTCAAGGCGGTGGTGAGGCTCCGAAGAATCTGTCTGGACGGTTACTGGCTGCTACTTGGTGGTTGTTTGGGTGAGTAATGAGTATGTTATGTACAGGCTTACTTAATACTATTAACAACCTTACGATTCTCAAAAGTTACTAAAGACACTGATCTCTGATGCTAAAAGTATGAAGTTGGCTTTGGTTCTAGATAAAGTCTATTTTTCATATACCTACTTCTACCGAATTAATGTAGTGTCTTTGCTTTGTGTTCTGCAATGGTAACTAACCACATGTACACCACCTATTTCTCTGGTTGTTCTCTATCACTGATGCGACCACAAATCTTACCCATGGTTTACTTACAGCTTCATCATCATAGCCTCGTACACAGCAAACTTGGCGGCTTTCCTTACGGTCTCTCGGCTGGACACGCCCATAGAATCCTTGGACGATCTCTCCAAGCAGTATAAGATCCAGTATGCACCGCTGAACGGGTCTGCAGCTATGACGTACTTTGAAAGGATGGCGCACATTGAAGTTAAGTTCTATGAGTGAGTATTTATGAAGATTTGTTTCTTTCTTCAAGGAACATAAAGGGAAATAGCAAACATAATAGGCACTGCTAGTGTTCCTGCATCTTTTTTACAGAACTCTATCTCTTGAAGAGTTACTAACTCTATGGATCTGAAGGCTTCATGTAGATCGAGTAATTATTTTGAATCTTGATTTAGGTGCTTAGGATCTTACATATCATTAGGTATTTTGTGTATTTTGGTACTGCTAAAGGTCAGTGCCACCAAAAAATTTTAAATCTACCAAGAGTCAATGCGGAACGACGAATGACGAAAATCAAAAAAACATTTGCACAAGAATTTGACATGAACTCGTTAATTTTATTTAAATTTGTGACTGCACGCAATCACAACTGTACAAACGTCTCATTGTTATCGGGCAATGACCCCGCTTTTTGGAAGAAACCCTTGATAACAGTGTCATCCTCGTTATCGATGTTTGCAGTTACGAAAATGCCAAAAACTTTATTTGCACTGTTTTAAGATGTTGAAGAAAGTGGAGAAAGAAAGTTCCTTGATCTAGATGAAATTATTACAATTAACAACCTAAATGATAATGTCTCTCAATCAAAATGGCCAAATACCCTAGTTTTAGTAAAGTAGTACCTGATGAAATCTCATGGAAAAAAATCGAGCTGAATTCATTTTTGAATAGTTCTCAACGTCTCTGAAGTTTGAAAAAACGAATCTGTTGAAATTCGAAAAGAAACGTTTCTATCTTACGCAGGGACTTGTCTCTGCGTCCGATTTTTATATCCCTTTGCTGATTCAGATCTAGATCTGTAGTCTTTATGAAGGTGATACACATCTGATACGTTAAGTGTTGGATATGCAATTGCCTCAATGGGAGGAAGGACAGGGGCGAGGGCAACCGTGGCGCGAATTCAATTGACACTCGCAATTATTGCTCAGGGTTTACGTCATACCAGTCATACCTACTTCCACAGGGTCAATGGCCTAAAAATGGAAAATAAAATATGCGATAGGTAAATGTCTTGTTAATGCGATAAGTACTAGCATTAAGTAGCTTGTCTTGTCTGCTCTTTGACTTAGGAGAATAGGTAATTGTGCTCTAGAGTCGGAGTTTTTAAAATTGGCAGTAATTCTTGTCTGAACTATGTCGAACTGGCTGGCTGCACCTAGTTTAGAAGTTAAATATTTAAACATATAGGTACCTATGTGATATTCGTCGTTTCAGCCAAATGACGTCCACTGCTGGACAAAGGCCTCCCCCAAGGTTTTCCACAATGAACGGTACTGCGCTGCCCGCATCCAGGCTCTTCCCGCGACCTTTACCAGATCGTCGGTTCACCTAGTAGGAGGCCTGCCCACGCTACGTCTTCCAGCCCGTGGTCGCCACTCGAGAACTTTCCTGCCCCAACGGCCATCGTCTCTACGAGCTATATGTGCCCCGCCCACTGCCACTTGATTTTAGCAATTCTGCGAGCTATGTCGGTTACTTTGGTTCTCCTGCGGATCTCCTCATTTCTGATTCGTCCACGCAGGGAAACTCCTGATATATGTGATATCCCTACATATTAAATTCCTCTTGAACTTAAAACACCTTCTCCCATAAAAGCTAGCATCACAATTTTCAGAATATGGAAGGAAATGAGCTTAAACGACAGTCTGAGTGACGTCGAGCGCGCGAAGCTAGCTGTCTGGGACTACCCAGTCAGCGACAAGTACAGCAAGATGTGGCAGGCCATGAAGGAGGCTGGTCTCCCCAACTCCATCGAAGAGGTGATAAAAACTGATTTGGAAGATTATCTTGACATACCTAATAATAATTGCTTATTTTGCCAGTGTTTGTGGTGTCCATTATATGCCATGTAGACTTCATTTGTTAATAGATACTCATTTGTTACTTAACTGTGAAATTTTTATTGGACTCCCTGCTTGAGTAGAGGATGAGCACGCTCATACTAAAAATCTCAATACATAACCAAACCTAAGACCCTTTTATTTTCATATTAAATTCATATCTAAGTCGAAGATGAGCACGCTCCAGCTAAAAATCTCTATTCAAAAACTGGGGGTAAAATGCGCTTTCTAAATTTGATACAACACATTTTGATGCAATTAAAGATTTTATATTTGATTTGAGGCCTTGCAAAGGGTGAGAGACTCCAAGAGTTCCAGCGAAGGCTTCGCTTGGCTGGGCGATGCGACTGACGTCAGATACCACGTGCTGACGAGCTGCGACCTTCAGATGGTAGGAGATGAGTTCTCGAGGAAGCCGTATGCCATCGCTGTGCAGCAGGGATCACCGTTGAAGGACCAGTTTAATAATGCGTGAGTGTAGATTCATCTGTTTTCTATCCCATTTTTTTTAACCACAATGAGGCAGCTCTAGGCCTGCATCTCACCTAATGAAAAGTGATGATCAGGCAGAAGGTGGAAGCGAGCTTCACCCGGAATCCTCAACCACATAGATACTAGCTAAGGGTTCGGCCAAACCAACGCGATCAGACGCGATCAGCCGGCGTGCAGCGATGGCGACCAATGCATTTAAGTCTGATCGCCATCGCTGCACGCCGGCTGATCGCGTGTGATCGCGTTGGTTTGGCCGAACCTTAACAGTTCATTTGGATAAAATAACTTTTTTTGGAGTCGCCATTTTTTAAATATGACGGAAATCAATTTGAATTTCAGAAGCCGTAATGTAATGCTTAGATAGAGTCGACTGGCTTCAAATTTAAATGATTCGCTTAACATACAAATTGCAGTCCATAATGATTTAAACTTGAAACATACCTCACTGTGCGTAGCGAATTCCCTTTATTCAACGATGTGGGTGTGTAATTCGAGCCCTCCTATGATTAGCTTGGCGGCCACTAATCGAATAACCGTTGATTGTTTACAATGGCGGTGACGACATTGCTTCTGTTGTACCTACTCGTACCTACTTAACAACGAATCATTGTACTTTTATGTACCTACCTGCCTTAGCAGGTATTTATGATTCCTGCAATGTAATTTGATATTCTACCGGACGGTAGTTCAATTTCCTGTACCTCATCTCACGCGTCATGATCAGTTCATCCGTGATTAGGTAGGGTAGGTTTATGTATGTATTGTGAACTTCTGGCTTCAAAATTGAGTAATAAGATTCTCCTACTTTTAAAGTTTAAGCTAAACCCTGTTAAAATTATCTTAGCATCAGACATCAGCAAATTTTATACCTCTTAATAAGTATTTTTGACTTGAAAATTATAAATAACTTGAAAAAATCGAACTGCTTAGGCAGTTCGATTTTTTAGGCGGGAATTGAGATGCGACTCTTAACGCTAAAAATTAAATAACTATTTTTGACTTTTAAAACAATACATGTGTAACAGTACAAACCTGTCTGGCACAAAGTGAGTTTATGCAAATAGTAGGCAAAGGTGACCGCGCCGACATTTCCAATAGCCGACCGTATAAATTATTAGTTTGTTGATACACAATGCTTACTTTACGGCACCATGTTCGAGCTACTGTTTTATTATGGTTATTATGTCGATTGGTCAAGGGAAATGTCAATACCTTGAATGTTTGAGCGATGACTTTGAGTTTTTCATGAAAGCTGCAGTTCTCGAAGTTGTTTTAAGAAATAGTAACTAAGAAGTAGTACCTAAAGGGTATAATAAAATTGTATACAGTTCTAAACATGAATGCATAAACAATAAACAGTCGCTTTACGAGAGCTGTTTCAGCCATTGAATGCTTGGTAATAATCATAATAATTTGATTTCAGTATTCTTCAGCTGCTCAATAAGCGGAAATTAGAAAAATTGAAAGAAAACTGGTGGACCAACAATCCAAACGCAATGAAATGTGAAAAACAAGACGATCAAGTGAGTAACATCACTTTTGTGGAATAATCATAATAAATTCTGGCAACTGTAGCTAACTGTTCTTAAAATCTACAGTTAGTTTAAAAATAAGCTTGTGTAGGTACCTACTTATTATGTATTCAACAAAGTTGTTGTTGTAAGTAAGTAACATAATCAAGTATTTGTGTGCACCTAAAGGTTATCATAATTCGTTTGTTTAATTTCAGTCGGATGGTATTTCCATACAAAACATTGGAGGGGTGTTTATAGTAATATTCATGGGTATTGGTCTAGCCTGCATCACTCTTGGCGTCGAATATTGGTGGTACAAGATTAGGAAGCGGTCCACCATTGGGGATATCACTCAGGTACCTAATCACTTTCAAGAGATAGTTACTGTTATCACGTTGTGATAGAGTGCATCTTGTTGATCAGAATTTTTTAAGGCTAGGTTGCACCATCTTACTTTGACTTTAACAAACGTCAAAAATCTGTCAAACTCCATACAAAATGCGCCGGTTATCGTCATATTTACGGTCAAAGTTAGGTGGTGCAACTCAGCATAAGACTCCGCTACTTTTAACCCTAGCTGTATTTAGGCTGATTTGCACCATCTTATTTTGACTTTAGCAAACGTCAAAAATCTGTCAAACTCCATACAAAAATCACCGGTTATCGTTATTGTTACGGTTAAAATAAGATGGTGCAACTCAGCCTTGTGTTCATATTTTTTCACTTGTATGGTAACTGTTCATAACATTAGTGTTATTGAATTGGTAGAAAACAGCTATGGATTTTTAACTTACACGTGACGTTATGACTCAATGTTGATTTGTGAATATCTGTATTGATTGACGTCAGATCATGGGTTTTTGTCACCTCCATTTTTGTTGCCATTACATCATCTACATAAACTTATAGCCTCCAAATATTTGTAGACACAATTTGATTTGCACATTTGTAGGAAGATTATTGAATTGAATAAAAATTTGACGTCAGATCCGAAGGTGTTTGGTCTCTCAAGTCACAAATTTCCACAAGGTGCACTACTAGATGCCTTATTACTTACTGTTAAAGGTATAAATGTATACTTATGAAATTAATTTCAGGTGGAACCAGCAAAATCGTCTAGAATTAACACTGATTTTAAAGGAGAAGGATTCACTTTTAGGTCCAGAAATTTGGGCCTGTCCAATTTGAAACCTAAATTCTAAACCTCGACATTTGACAAACTAATTGAAGCAATTTCTACGGAATTTCTCATGTGTTCAAACCCAACAGTATTGTCTTAATATATCATAAGTTCTGCTCCCAAATGTTTGTATGCAAGTGTGAATGCAATAAACACGTGTTGCACATTTCGAGTTTCTTTAAAACCACGATTATAATCAAAAATACTTTTATTAATATCTACATTAACTTAAATTAGGCACTTACGAGTAGGTACACATAATATCTGATACTGAATAATGTACAATAATTTAAATGATTGCCAGTTGAGTATTATGCCTTGGACAAACTTATGGTATAAGTTCTGAAGGTTACTGACATTGGGGCAAGAAATCATACGAGCTTATACTAGAATATTTACAGAATCGTGGATAGCCTTTATAAATATTACTATCTAATTTGGTAGCGTTACAACTCTATTAATTCCTTATTTATTGCTTATAGTTTTTGTTTTATTTTCTATGTTGTATTTAAATTACCTTTTTTATAATCTTCAATATAGTGTTTTCGAGCTGTAACCGCTTCTGGTATCTTAGCGCTTTGTTTATCCTTTACAATATTACTAATATAATTTGGTAGCGTTACAACTCAATAGTTTTGCCGTGTTTGTTGATGTTCTTCATGTTTTTGTTGCACAATTCCAGTTCTAGCCTCAATCCGTCCACTTCTGCTTCTAAAGTGCGCGATCTCTTGAACATTTGGACGTAGTTGAGTTGTAACTGCTTCTGGTATCTCAGCACTTTGTCTTTTTCCTCCGACCACTTTCTCCTTTCGTTGTTGAACTGTGCTTCTTTTGCTTCCATCTCGCATTTGAGTCGGTCGAGGGACACGCTAGCGGGGCACGGGCTCCCGCAAGGGTCGGGCATCTCCCCATTCAGTCTTTGGACTTCGGCGTCTTCTAATGCGCTGTCATTAGAATTCCAGTGATACTCGTTATTTTTGCAAACGTCGTATATTCCCCTCATCGTTCGCCCGCACTCGATCCCTTCGTAGCCGCTGAGGGAAACGTCGGATAGTTCTTGTCTGAGTTCTTTCAGTTCCGTTTTTAGCCGCTCGATTTCGTTTTTGCTCGATTCCTTTGTCTTTGTCAGGTCTGAGACGCTTTCCATCAGGTCGTTGGTTAGTCGGTCAACTTCTGCTTGCAGCCGGTTGGCCGTTTTTTCCTTCTCCTCTGATTCCGCTCGCAGTCTCATTATTTCTTTCTCTTTTTTGTCGAGCGCCTCTCTCAGTTGGCGACAGTCTGCTTTGAGAGTGAGATATTCGTGGCCTTTCGCTGTTTGTTCGTTCTGGAAAAAAATGGAAGAAATTAATTTGTGTAAGTAGCAACATAATAATTGTGTAATCTTAGCGACTGTTTGTAAACTCGAGTCGTTTGTTTGCATGTGGTCCGCATTCTCGTGATTAGATAAAGTAAATTGTTTTGAAACAAAAAGATTCGTTCCCACGTTTATCTACATTTTTTATCACTAGCTCGATATGTTCTACTCGTACTACTTGTCGAGTGGCAACAAAAAATTATGACTACTAGCGACATCTAGCGAGCAGGTTCGAACTTCATACCGTTCGAATATTCAAGTTCAGTTGGAATAGTAGTGTTTCAATGCTGTTGTAGGTGTCGCTGTGATACTCAAAAGTAGACAAACCATAATTGTTATTTTTTTTTACCCGACTGTGCCAGAAGGAGGGCTGTGACAGTTTTTGAAATCTTGATCTAAGACCTTCCTATAACTACGGTAATACTATCTAAACAGTATTCCAACTCGGCCATATTTTTGAAATAAATACCAATAGCCTTGCTCTACATTATAAGAGTAGCTAAGGATATACCTAAATGACAAACCTGTGCAAACTGTGCATCCTACAGCTGAGTCTTCAACAGAGCGATCTCGCCAGCTCGCTGGCACAGGCTCCACTCGGTATCCTCTAGCCTTTGTCTTAGCAGCGCCCTGTCCCGCCTAACCCTCGCTAGCTCGTTGTCCCGCTCGTCCCGCGAGCGAGGCGCGTAGCTGAGCCCAAGAAGAAGTCTTAGAGAAGGTGACAAACCTGTGCGTCCTTCAGCTGCGTCTTCAACAGTNATAGTTCTTGTCTGAGCTCTTTCAGTTCCGTTTTTAGCCGCTCGATTTCGTTTTTGCTCGATTCTTTAGTCTTGGTTAGATCTGAGACGCTTTCCATCAGGTCGTTGGTTAGTCGGTCAACTTCTGCTTGCAGCCGGTTGGCCGTTTTTTCCTTCTCCTCTGATTCCGCTCGGAGTCTCATTATTTCTTTTTCTTTTTTGTCGAGCGCCTCTCTCAATTGACGACAGTCCGCTTTGAGAGTGAGATATTCGTGGCCTTTCGCTGTTTGTTCGTTCTGGAAAAAATAGAAGAAATTAATTTGTGTAAGTAGCAACATAATAATTGTGTAATCTCAGCGACTGTTTGTAAACTCGAGTCGTTTGTTTGCATGTGGTCCGCATTCTCGTGATTAGATAAAGTAAATTGTTTTGAAACAAAAAGATTCGTTCCCACGTTTATCTACATTTTTTATCACTAGCTCGATATGTTCTACTCGTACTACTTGTCGAGTGGCAACAAAAAATTATGACTACTAGCGACATCTAGCGAGCAGTGTGCCTACCATGAGTTTACGTTAGGTGAGCTCGCTAGCGAATACGTCAAAAAATTCTATGAAGATTTTATTTCTTGAAAGTAGCCACTAGGGGCGCTGCACAATATGTCATACATTTAAATGTCATTTTTTACGCAGTCGCTAGCGAGCACACCTAACGTAAACTCATGGTAGGCACACAGGTTCGAACTTCATATCGTTTGAATGTTCAAGTTCAGTTGGAATAGTAGTGTTTCAACGCTGTTGTAGATGTCTCTGCGATACTCAAAAGTAGACAAACCATTACAGTAATTGACGGTAATGGTTTTTACGAATTTTATTATTATTTTTTAAAGTTAGGTCTAGACTCTAGAGAGAACCTTTGCTATTCTGAACTTCCTACAACCGATGTATATTACCAGCCTGAACTTATATTATTTGTTCGCCATATAGGTAACTAGGTAACATATTAAGTACTAGCTTTCCGCCCGCGGCTTCGCACGCGTGAAATTTCGTTTGTCACAGATCGTCATAAATTATAGCCTATGCATTCTGTTGCATCATGTTGTCATACCAACCTGTGCATTCTTCATACACAGTCTTCACAGATCTTCAACATTCAACAGTGCGATCTCGCCAGCTCGTTGACACAAGCTCCACTACGTATCCTCTATCTAGCCTCTGCCTCAGCAGCGCCTTGTCCCGTCTCGCTCTACTATAAGACTAGCTCCGGATACAAGTTACCAACCTGTGCGTCTTCAGCAGTGCGATCTCGCCAGCTCGTTGACACAGGCTCCACTCGGTATCCTCTAGCCTCTGTCTCAGCAGCGCCCTGTCCCGCCTAACCCTCGCTAGCTCGTTGTCCCGCTCGTCCCGCGAGCGAGGCGCGTAGCTTTGCAACACGAGCCTAAGAAGATGTCTGAGAGGAGGTACCAACCTGTGCGTCCTTCAGCTGCGTCTTCAACAGTGCGATCTCGCCAGCTCGTTGACACAGGCTCCACTCGGTGTCCTCTAGCCTCTGTCTCAGCAGCGCCCTGTCCCGCCTAACCCTCGCTAGCTCGTTGTCCCGCTCGTCCCGCAAGCGCGTAGCTTTATAACACGAGCCTAAGAAGAAATCTTAGAGAAGGTGACCAACCTGTGCATCCTTCAGCTGCGTCTTCAAAAGTGCGATATCGCCAGCTCGCTGGCACAGACTCCACTCGGTGTCCTCTAGCCTCTGCCTCAGCTTCGCCCTGTCCCTTCTTGCCCTACACTATAAAAGTAGCTGTGGATATAAGTTACCAACCTGTGCGTCTTTCAGTTGCGTCTTCAACAGAGCTATCTCGCCAGCTCGTTGGCACAGGCTCCACTCGGTATCCTCTAGCCTCTGCCTCAGCAGCGCCCTGTCCCGCCTAACCCTCGCTAGCTCGTTGTCCCGCTCGTCCCGCGAGCGAGGCGCGTAGCTCTGCAGCATGAGCCCGCGCGGGGCTCGCACGCGCACCTCGTGGCTTCTTAGGCGGTCGGTGGTGCTGGAATTGGGAGAAAAGTGGATCAAAATTGGTTCATGTATGTATGGGAGCTAAATGAGTTAACAGACAGAGAGAGAAATGTCGATCGATCAACGTGGAAAGCATTAGGGGAGGCCTATGTTCAGCAGTGGACGTCCTATGGCTGAAATGATGATGATGATGATGATGAGAGAAATGTGGATCCAAATAAGTGGACAAAACTGGATCAAAATAGGTTCATTCGTGCGTTTGGGAATTACATGAGTTACATAAAGATAAAGGTACACAAACAGATAAGAGGGGATGCTCTATGGGCTCTTTAGGCACATCGCTCATAGAAAATTTTAGAGTGGCACCCACGGGCTGGAAGATGTATTGTGGGGAGGCCTAGGTGGACCGACGATCTGGTAAAAGTGGCAGGAAGCACCTGGTTGGAACAGCACCTGTCAGTGTGGAAATCTTGATCATTGGGGGAGGCCTTTTTCCAGCAGTAGACGTCATTTGGCTGAAACTAAGGAAGGTAAGTCTCATGACTTACCCGTAGTCATGGTGGTCTCTCTCAAGCTCAGCGACGCCGGAGTCGGCGGGCGACGGCGCCGGCGCCGGCTCCTTGTCGCCGCTCACCACCGAGTTCGACTTCATACTGGAATAGAAACAGAACACATTATTGTAGAATTTTATCTAATTAACACACCATAACTACTAGACTCTAGATTTCAGATCACTCTATTCTCTATTACTCTCTAAATTCTAGAGAAATGTAGGAATGACAGAAGACCCATAAAACGTAATGAAGCATAAAGACCACCTTATCTCTATTTATTTTATTTATTTTAAACTTGAATGCACATAAAACAGTGTACATAAGGCGGACCGTATGCTATGCATAGTTCGTTCGTAGAGCAGTCAATTTTTTACCAAAAGTGCGTATGAGATTCCCCGCGACACACATTTTTTAAATATTTCGTCGAGTTCAAATGATTTTATTTTTCCAAATCTATTTGGTACTGCGGCGTACAAAATCACCTTCTAAAAATTGTGGCGTGTGGCAAGTAGGATATTTATTTACTTATACTGAAATGTAACCGAATATTTGTGTGTGCCTTATCGTGAAAATATTCGGCGTGGGTGAAATAATTGTTATTCCGCAATGTAATGCGAATGTCAAAGATATTTACGTCCCGAATCACGCACAGCCCAATCGTTATGTCATTACATTATACTTTACGACTTTAAGTAATTACTTATCTAATTGTTTTCCGCAATGATAAATAGGAATGATTATTTAAAATCTGTTCGCTAAATAAGTTTTATCACGGAATAAGTATTAAGTATTAGATAGATTATGCTTTAATTTAGGACTCTGACGTAAATTCGTGGCTAAAAATAATAAATTTAATTAAAATTCAGTACATCAGTAGTCTATTTTAGATGTCTAAACTTTCATCGATAAAATATTCAAAATACGATCGTCGTATAAACGACTCAATTAACGTCAATTAACGGACTTCTAAAATGTTTCCACACAATATCGGAATCGGAAACGCCACGGAACGAGTGCGATAAAATCATTAGTTTTATTATTATTGATTTCGGTAAATCAATCGGTAAAGAAAACAGAAACCATACATTTACATAAACGATTACGTTGACATCGACCATTGCGTTTTTATTTGAGAAAACAGTTTATAATGTTAGCGCTAAATATTAATTGGTGAGACCTAGAGGAAGATGAAGAAGGCTCATTTCATTTAAGAAGAATATTAAATTAAACAATATTATGTTATTTTATTTTAATTTTAAACATTGTTAAACCAATAAAATAAAATATATAAAATAGTCGTAGCAGAAATCCAGTTGTTGCAACCAATTAAGTAGGGAACGTAAGAAAAAAATATTTGGCTTATTATCTAATCAAAACACTGTTAATGTTTAATTGCTGAAGTGTCTATTTTACTAATTTATAAAGTAACATTTGTTTAAATAATTATAAATTAAATCTAATTGGCACGTTATAAAAAATATTAGTAAATCAGGTAATGTAAATGTTATTGAACAATAATTAATTTAAATCACGTTATGTAAGTTTTACTTTTAAGCAACTACGAACGAACTCTACTTATTCTGTCTTTTGGGGAGCCTTCTGGGTCCGTTCCTCTTTTGCGGCAAAACGGTAAGTTAAAGTTATTTTATTAGTTTGTTTGTCGGCCCCTTTGAATACATAATTCGGAAAGTAGGTGTCCGATTGCGTCTGATTGGGTCTAGGGTTGCCAAGTTTGGCCAAATATTATCTTGTCCGGCCTGTCCGGTTTCTTTTAGGCTTTTTATATGGTTGCCGCGCCAGTCGAAAGCACCGATGCACCGATGCCTACGATATCGAGCACATAATATTAATATTATTATGCACGTATCAGGATGTTGGGCTACCGATTCGAAGATGGCATGTTAGCTAAAAAGGTATGTCCGTCTTTTAGGGTTAAATGTCCGGCAAAATTAAGCAACGAGTCCGGCTTTTATTTTCTTGGACTTGGCAACCCTAAATGCGTTTGACTGTACCGATTGCATTGATCTTGTAGTTCCGCAATTACGGACGGCATATTAAATTACGTATTTTATTATATTTTTATCGCATTAATAAATAACATTAAGTTCGGTGATATTATGTACATTTAATCAATGTTCGGTTAATTCTTTTAATTAAATGTTTAAAGTCAGTAATTAAGAATGATTCATTTTGTAATCAGTCGTTAAGGGTGACAATTGAAAAGCTGACGGCAGTGCTAATGAAAGGGGATTCTACGCGGGCAATATTTTTTGTAATTTGTGCCTGCAAAGTGGCCTGTTGCAATTATTATAAAAGTTATATTTTCAAAAGTGCAGGATAAGATATTGTAATAAAACCATTTTCTCTTTAAAAGCTAGTTCATGTAAATAAAAGTGTTTGCTTGGTTTTCATCAACATTTATAATTTGTATTTTAACTAAATAAAATATTATAAAAAATAATAAATTGTAGAGAGCGAAGATTACACTTAAAAACTATAATTACAAATAGTTTAATTAAATAAGCAAAATTAACCACCACGCGTACCTACAGGGTGATTAAGTTTATAGTTGCAACTACCCCTCAATCAAGAAGATTATAATTAACTATGACCTTTACCACATAATGATCTATTTTTTCATAGCAGATACCTTTCCATTTCACGGTATGAACACGTCAGTCTACAATGGTATGACTAGGAAAAAAATTAAGTCAAAATTAAAGTTTTTTTTATACATTTGTGCGCAAGGCCGTACTTATTTAGGTCTAAGTACCTATAAGTCTTTATTAATATATGCTTTAAGGTTACCACAGTTGACTGAGCTTCATAACGAAGGGATAAAAGAAGGGTTTTTTTTAGAAAAAAAAGCCTTCTTGCAGCAAAACCTGGTACGTATAGGCGATAGCACGTCAGGCTGCGTCCCGATTTCATTCCAGCTGATGCGCAATTCGGATTCGACGAAACAACGGATTTAAATTCCGAACACCTTATTGTTTCACTAAATACACAAATGTTCGTGAAGCGTTTCTCATGCCAACAAAACGAAAACTTCATTGGTAGAGTTATTTTTACATCAGAGAAAATTTCTTCAATCCCCTCTCAGATTTCATTAAACATGCTATTCCATGTACATGTCATGTCATGCTTCAAAACAACAACGGCTTGATAACGAGGGCAAGATGCAAGAAATATGTAAAGAAACGGTAACCCTGCGCCTGGTCGCGGTCGCTGCGCGTCGCGGGCCGCCGAGCGTGGCGGGAACTGCCTACGGTGATGGAAGAATCCAATATTTTATGGTAAGAATGACAAGAAGGCAATCCAAAGCAACCGAGATAAAGCATTGTTAAAGGTAAGTGGTAGCGGGCAAAGCATATTGCTCTTAGAACTAACGGACGCGGAGGGAGGAAAGTTCTCTAGTGGTGACGGCAAGACGCAGGTAGTCGTGTAAGGGAAGCATCTGAATGCAGACAGCGCAAGACCGATTGTTGTAGAAATACTTGGGGGAGGCGTTTGCTTCGATCATTTTATTCATAAAAAGAATCATATTGTAGGTATTTCCTTCAGATTATTAAGTATCCGTCTGAACGTATGTAGCTACTAACCAAACTGGAAACAATTTACACAATTCCCATCTGGGAATCGATACCTCTGGAGCGAAAGAATCATGGTCTCCGAAAAAATTGTTTGCTTCGGTTATGTGACAGATGTCTCCCCCTTATGATAATTGTGTTTATTTATTTTTAGTTTGGTCTCACTTAAAATAGAAATACCTTTACCTACCCTCCGAAAGAAGATGGTTTGTGTTATTTTCAGTAGAGAATCAACATAAACTGTTTAATAAAACTAAGTGTGTCTGAAGTTTTGTATTCGTTTCACGATACGGCGACCCATTAGGCACTCAAACGAATCGAAATCGACACTGAATATTGTTGACAATTTTCCCGTACTACTAGGTTAGTGTTAATAAATCTTGTGTTTAAAGCCTGGAAAATATTATTGATTCCGAGTGTGTCTCGCCCATCAACAGAACAGTACTCCAGTTCACATAAGGGCGTATTTTACATTTTATTGCATTTACAGTACTAACGGCACACAGATCATGAGAGAAAATGGTGCGAAAAAACTGAATCTAATTTACATTTTGATACGCGATTTTATCTGTAATTCAATTAACAAAATGTATTTTTTATATAAAAAAGAGATAAGTGAAATAAGAGTTTATTTCAATATATAATTAAGAACGCTAATTAGTTTTAATATCAATTACTTATCTTAGTAATTAGCATAAAACCATTGAGATTTCTATGCTAATGAACAATTTTCTTTACAAGATTGAGTGAAAATATCTCTACTTATTAATTATGCAGATTTTCTATTTACATACAAAAGAAAAACCACAATTCCTTCTTTTATGATGTGTTGAAAATAATAATTTTAAGTGAAATACAAAAGTAACAACGTAGAGTAAAATTGGGTTGCGTTTAATATTCGATGAAGCGAATCATTATAGTGATTACAGTTTTTTGAATCATAAAATATACATTCCCAATACAATGATTGTTTTTTGCTATAGCAGTGTTGAACTAGAGTTGTTTAACTCGATTACTGAGCCACAATAGTTGCAATATTGTTAAAATAAGTAATTAGGTACCTAACTTACGTTCAAAGTACGCCAAACTAATGTAAGTAAAGAAAGAAAGAAAGTAACTCTACATTATTATTTATTTAATAGTAGCGGCCCACCCCGGCTTCGCACGGGTGTAATGGATTTTCTCAGCTTTTCTCTTCTATAATATGCATGTTTTATACATAGAAACTGTTGTGTATTGTTGATTCACTCTATCCATTAAAAAAAACCGCATCAAAATCCGTTGCGTAGTTTTAAAGTACTAAGCATACATAGGGACATGACATACAGACAGGAAAGCGACTGTTTTATACTATGCAGTGAAGTGCTCGCCAAAAGTAGTGATAAATCGTTCGAAAGTAGGCAGTCGTTACGGTCATGAGTTTCGAGCAATGTCGGAATTGGGAACCACTATTTTGAATTTAGAAGCCTTGCACAATCGATTAGGTCTTATCCAACGGCCGAGCATTTG